TACGCCCGCGCTTTTTATACAATTTCAGATTTATTGATTTGTCATAAGACTCAAATTATATGCAACAAATTTCAAAGCGAGTTAGACGCGGGTGCTGACGCGCGAGGCGTACGCGTAGCGGGTGCGTGTCGTCGGAACGCGGCTTTAGGTTTTTAAGTTATTCAATATATCTTAATAACTGTTTGTTGTTTATACTGCCTCTTTTACCAACAAAAATTATTATTGGACTATTTGGGCAAAATTTAGTAATTATAATTTAATTTAGGATGTCACTAAAAGATGCTCCACGCATGCAGAAATTTATAATTTACTGTCCATTTAAAGCATTATTTAAAAAAATTATGTCTAAATTTTTTCCCATGTTATCGCTATACATAATTATATTATTTTTGATAATATAATATTTGAATTATTTTTTATTTTAATCTCCTTTGCTATGGTGGTAGAGTTTTGGTGGTGATATTATCAGCACACACACCGACTCTGAAGAAACTGGTATTGACCGCTGACACTCACATTGATGTTTTACTAAGGAGTCAAAACGCTCCTCATTATATTTACGTCTTTACCAGATTATCCACAGCCAGTATATGTTCTTTTATTTCATTTTGGGCTGATTTATATTTATTGGACACAGTTTGAAGGGAGTTAGAAAGTAGTAAAATTTCCGATTTAAGGCACTCTACGTAGTTTCATAATATTTTTTAATGTTATCCACATCAATTTAATACAAATTAAGTTCATATACCAATGATTGCTTTTCTTTACATAAATTAACATAATTTCTGATATTGATCTTATTTTTTATTAATTTTTGTACTTTCTTCATGTATTTATTAACATTGATGTATTTCTTCAATTTGGTTTTACTGCAATTAATCCTTACTGTTTTTCCTAAAGTGGAAGATTCGTCACCTGTCAAATCTATTGTTGCAGATCGCTGTATTATTTTAGAATTATTACATTGCACATGCTCAGAGAACAGGCTTTGAGTCTGGGAGGCTTTTAGATTATCTATGTATGTTTTAAATTGTACTATTTGCTCATTAGCCTCATTCAACTGTAACTTCAATGCAGCAATAGAATAGAATAGAATAGAATAGAATAGAATATTTTTTATTCAATATACATTACATGTGTAATTCTTATTGAAAGTCATTTTTTACTTTACCACTGGTTCGAAAAAACCCTCTGTCCTGGGAAGAACCAGCAAGAAACCCAGCGGGACATTTTTTTTAAATAAATTTTACAATATAAATGATTACGAACTATTTACAAAATTTATTTTAGAAACTGCTTGGAAGCGACCACCTCATTCCCAGGGGTTATTATCAACCATGTATTCATTTATACTATAATAACCCTTTTTATACAGTTTCAGCTTAATAAAACATTTGAACTTGGTAATAGAGAGAACCTGTACACTTTCCGGGACCTAGTTGTAATAGCGTATACATTGCCCCAAGAATGAATTACTGACTCTGTGGAGTCGAGAAACTGGCATCACTAGCTTGTGTTTGTTACTAGTGTTTACAGAATGTATATCACTTTTTTTACTAAAACTATCTTTGCTTTTGTGAACATACATTAAATTTTCGTAAATATACTGAGAGGCCAAAGTTAAAATATTAATTTCTTTAAATTTATCTCTAAGAGACTCTCTCGGTTTTAGATTGTAAATAGCTCTAATGGCCCTCTTCTGTAAAACAAAAATAGTTTCTGAATCAGCCGCATTTCCCTATAGCAAAATCCCATAAGACATTATGCTATGGAAATAACTAAAATAAACTAATCTAGCTGTCTCGACACTAGTGAGACCTCTAATCTTTTTTACAGCATAGGCTGCAGAACTTAGTCTGCTTGCTAATTTGGATATATGGGGGCCCCACTGGAGCTTTGCGTCAAGAGTGATGCCAAGAAAAACAGTGGATACAACAGGGCTCAATTCCTCCCCATTTAAAAATACATTGGTATTCAGATTTTTAACATTCGTTGTTTTAAATTTAACACAATTAGTTTTATTTCCGTTCAAATGCAGATTATTAACGTTAAACCAATGCACTAATTTTGATATAGCATTATTCACTTCGTCACATTTAAATGATTGACCTTTAAGTTTAAAAATCAAGGAAGTATCATCAGCAAATAATACTATATCATGACTATCCCCCTACAAGGTGAGGTAAGTCATTAATATACACCAGAAACAGGAATGGGCCGAGAATCGAGCCCTGAGGAACACCCATTAGTACAGGTGACCCGGAAGAACTTTTACCATTGATAATAACCTTCTGTTTTCTATTACTTAAATATGACATAATAAGTTTAAGCGCTGTGTTCTTGACACCATAGTACTGTAGCTTCCTGATTAATGTAATAAATTTTTTTTATGATTAATGTAGAAAACTAATAAACCCGAGAGCTCCCTCATCCCACCTGATGGTAAGTGGTTGCTGCGGCCCATAGACATCTACATCTATCCTCTATTACAAATCAAAATGCAGATGCGTTGTCACCCGTGAGGACTAAGATGGAATGCCTCGTTTCCAGTAATAAGGGCCTCCGGTTCTCTACACTCACCATACGAAACACAGCAGCGTTAAGCTGCTATTTTACTATGGTATTCTGTGAGAGAGTGGTCCTTCCTCGGTCGAGCCGACCCATTCGTGCTACAACTATACTACTAATATAGCTGCAGCATGGCTCTACCATGGCTCTACCTCTCTAAGGGATGATAATGAAAACATTATCATCCCTTTTTTTTAAGCAGCAGTTTCACACTGCACCTTGGACGCCTTAAGTTCTTGAAGCGCAAGCTGGAGTTGGTTTTCCCTCTGGCGCGTCTTGGCGTTGCGAGTATTAATTTTACTATTTATTGTAAATAATAAAAGAAAACAAATCGAATCCGAAGAAGTAGAGTAAGCTAATATCGAGTTGTAATTTTCTTTTTACTTTTCACTATTTACAGATCTCAAATCAAATTATCCGAGTAATAGAATATGTCTTTAATTATAATAAAGGAATGATAAGGAATATGAATTACAATAATTTTAAACAAACAACACAAAATTGTTATAATATTTATATACCGAATTTCTTAATAAAATTTCATACTAGACGGCAGTAATTATTAACTATAACATAAAATTGAGTTGGATATTATAAATTTACAATATTTAAATCATTAAATTTTTTCGGGACCAATTAGTTTTACAACTTATCACCAGGGTTGCCACAGCAAAAGAAAAATATATATATACGTAGATGTCTGTGGGCAACGGTATTCACTTACTGGCAAGTGGACGGTGTACTCGTTGGTAATCATTAGTCTATAAAAAACATGGGTGCAGTTCACACGCGGTAGAAGCGAAACCTTCAGAAAACTGTTATAAATCGATTGGATATATGATAATTTTATTAAATATGGTTAATTTTTATTTGTTTCATTTCATAAATTTGTTATTTTATTAAATGTGTACAGAAGCGCATCTTTAAAGCACCGCACAAAGAGGAGACCGAGAAAAAAGGAAACGCTGTTTACAGTATTCTATCTCATTCTCTGGCAGGCTAAATATATACATATTGATGGATGGATGTATATGTTCGTCTCTTTTAGTGCCGGTTTTTCGTTTCATCGAATTTCAAATCATAACGGTTCTAAAGAAGTTTTCATTTCAAAAAACGTAAGAGTCTGATGAAAAAGAACAAGCGTTTTTATTTCAATTACACGGAGTTATCAGCTATGACAGTTTCGCTTGCCTAACATTCATAAAACTGTACAGTATTATAACTAAGTTAACGTATACACTCAAAGACTTCTATGAATACTACTATTAACCGGCTCTACTCTTTACCGGCAATCCAGAACAAAAACTGTGTCACAACTGTAGATCGCATGAGCGCGCCCCGCCGACTGGGAGAGTAGCTGGCACGATAAATATTCCACGCAGTTTTATTTGCATTTAAAACACTTACTGTTTGTAGGCAAATCTTTTATATAAATAAAATGATAGAGTTTTGCAATGAGGGCTAATAATTTTCTGCTCACCAGATGTCGCTAGTTCACAGTGAGGTTTTTTTGTTACACAATGTCATTTAATTGAGAAGTTAGTTTTTGATAAATGTGTATCAGTTTCAAAATAAAATAAATAAATACTCACGCCTGTCACCCAGAGGGGTAGGCAGAGACTATGGACTTTTGGCACGTTCCTGACACACCTCTCTCGCTTCCTCCACATCCATATACCTACGCATATACGCTCGAGTATTATATTAATACACAAAACCACGCCTCAGTGGTTTGCTCTTCAATTTTTTGCACATTTTTAACTCTTTTTAATTTTTCTACTTTTATGAATATCTGTGGTTTGGTTTATTTACTAATCTTATTTATTAATCTTATTAATGTAAAATATAGTTAATACCACAGAAAGAAAGATTAACCTTTACATTTTCCGAACAAATTAACTTCCTATGATATATATCTGTCAAATATATACCTTACTTTTAAGTGGTGTCGCCCTGGTGGCAGAAAAAGTCGGGAATCCCTCATTGTGCGCGCATCAAGGAAAACTACTTGATAGATTTCAATTAGATTTTCTTAGTTTTATTTCTTACACACTTGGCCCTTATCTAAGAAAAATTATTGCGATATCTTCATTTAATATAAAGTTATGAAAGTTTTAAGAAACAACGGTTTTTGTAAGCGTTACAGTGATGTGTATTTTCTTAATATATCACGCAACGCGGACGAAATCGTGGGTATCAGCTAGTACGAAATAGAGTTACATAGGTACCTATTTGAAAAAACTTCCAATCACGTTGACACAGTGCACACACAAATGATTATAGCGTTTTCTTAGTCACATTAAACAAAATCAGTGTTAGATTAAGAAAAGAACTAGTCGCTCGCTCGAAATCAACTTAATGGAGTTGCGGAGAAATGACCGTAACTTAAGGCCGCATAGAAAACTTTGTATACAATTAAATTCGACACGTACCTGTGAGTACTGCAGAACGAACTCGGAAATGAGAGCGTGTGCGTAGTGCGCGAGTGGGCAGTGCAGCGTGAGCGGCGCGTCGCGCGCGGGCGTCAGCTGCAGCGTGGCCGGCGCCGGCGCGGACGCGCGCAGCCCGCCCAGGGACAGCGTGCGCTTCACCGACAACCCCGCCGGACCTGCGAGTGAGCGCGGCGTCAGCGGTATTGAGTCGCACGACTCGGAAGTCTTTTGACGTTAATACGTCTTTAAATTTAAGTGGGAGGCAATTCAGAAAACAGATGATAACGTAATCGAAGGACAGATGTGGGTGTTGCAGCTATATACATCACCATCATCATCATCATCTACATCAAAAATTTAATTACATCATTCGATAGCTAAAGGATCAAAGAATTCGTTACGTTGAGTTAGGAGTGTAAAATATGACGCGCGGCGCGGCGGTGTAAGGTGTACCGCAATTTTGAAGTCGTTTCACTGTACATATTCACATTAAACACACATCCCGATTTTTTTAAATAATAATAATCCTATTAAAAATTACTAATATTCCCTACTTACTACTAGCTTACCAGAAGCTTAAAACACTTTACTTTCTCTACTTGGATCTTTCGAGTTCATGGTCTACACCCTGCCATTAGGCTACTAACGATTGAAAAAAATTTATTTCTTTGGTAATGGACTTCTACAATTGTATTTCTGCCAACGTCTATGTATTGATGAAATTATTCTCTATATTCATTTGATTAATTTTTTTTTACAATATTTCAGCAGATTCTGATTCAGATTTTGATGAAATGTTCAGCCCGTAGACAGTGTATGACGATAGTATCTCGAGGCGCCTAAGTTGACAAACAATAATACAGGAGCAGCAATCCGCAAACGGCTTACTTCCCGCCATAACTATTCGGTATAGTCATTGATTAAAACAAAAAATAAAGATATGTTACTTATAGCACGCATACGCATGACGTTTAAATGCATAAAAAAACTGACTCGATGACGGGTAGCAACCGTAAACCAAATGCACAGTGCAAATGCAACTATGTGGTGGCTGTCATCGCGCCACAAGCGAAATGTACTGAAGTCTAAATCACGCTATCATGTTCCTAAGTACTGCGGTATATACAGAATAACTTTATAATAACACAGGGAGTGTCAGTCGCTCCCCTGAATCCAGATCTCCCCTTTTCCGCCCACGGTCAAAGTCATATTATGCGTTAATCGTACGAGTTCAGAATTAAAAAGGAGTAAGCGTCACCTTTGAGTCCGACGACGACGGCCGCGTGCGAGACGGCGAGCACGGCGCTCTCGCCGGGCGGCACGCGCGCGGCGAACAGGCGCGCGAAGTAGAACGGCCAGCCGCGCGCCAGCTCCACGCACGCGCGCTTGTTCTGCGCGCGCACCGGGCCCGCCTGCGCGCGCAGCCACGCCCGCCCCGCGCGCCGCTCGCCCGCGCCCACCCGCAGCGACGCACAGCCCGACGTCACGTCGTGCACGATCTGCGCAAACACCGCCACCGTTACCGTTACAGACACATATATTACACCGGCATTCAAGAACAAAAACTGTGTCACAGCCATTGAAGTAATATTTACTAGTACGTAGTAAATATTACTTAATGGTTTGGTCTCCCTCGTGTTTGCCAATAGAACAGACAGACAGTAATTGAAGCAACAGTAGCCTAATAACAGATTGCGGACCGCAAAATCAAAATTCGTGGGCCACTCGATTACTATCGTGAACCACTCCTAACTCAAGCAATTTAAGCTTACCAGGAGTGATTAAAGATAATATTAATGATATTAAAGACATTTCTAGCATTTCTATTTAAACAAACAATCCTATAAAATTCTACTACTATACATAGACGTCTCCCACAGATTACCTCATAGGGGGGATGCATTCATCGACTTCCTACATCTCTTACCAGAATGCCGCCATATGCTTCGCTTACGAGTACGAAGCTGCCTAAGGAGGAATAGCAAGGTCGCCAGGAAGTGGATACCGTTTCTTGATCATAAAGATGATTGCCATAAATGCTTCGCTTGGCAGGCGCGTTAACATTATGGTTACAGCAGTGACATGGCGGCATCTCGTGGGTATCACAATAAGCAAGTTATTATGGCACTTTATTGATGGTGGTATAATCATATTGTATATTTTAACCCAAAATAACCAGGTCAGTGACTAATGCGTGAATAGTGTAAGAATTACATTTTTAAATAATACATAATAAAAACATGTTCTATGTTTTTTTTTTTACAAAATTCTAAATATTTTCTTACTTGCGCATAAAGTAAGTCCAAAATGGCGGGATCGTTGTACGTCTCTAGAGGCGTGAACACTTCCTTGCGCACACGCAGTTTCCAAGGCACTCTCGTGTAGGTTAAAAATATACGATCCGGAGGCAGTAAAGCTGCTGGTGCTGGGACGTCACCTACGGTTGAAACAACAAATTAATGAAATATAACGGGGAAAAAAGTTTTAAATCTGTGGTTTTAATGGTAAGTAATAAATAAATACCAGTTACGCCAATATTATACAAAAATTCAATTCTTATTTTTATAAACATACATAATATATTTTTATTTATCAAAATAAACTCACGTTCGATATGTTCCGTTCTATCAGTAACATGAGTAGAAACAGAATGTCTTCTTTCTGCCTCGAGTTTTCTATCTCTTTCTTTCTGTGCCATGTGAGTCCTAAAAGTCGGCCGCTCTGGTCGTTTCATGTCATTATTCTCCGGCGGGAAAACCACATCGGATCGGGGACTGTCCCTCGCCCGACCAACCAACATGTCTCTGGAGTTTTTGCGTCCATCGAAACGCTCAAACTCGTCAAAGTATGAAGATGATCGTTTGCGTTCATAGTTAGCAGCCATGTCGATTTCTTCTTGCCTCCTTTCAGCCCTCGTTGTGTGCATCTCATATATTTCCGACGCTTCACGCCCCGAATAATTGTCACGAATATCTCGGCGATCGGGGACATCTAAACCAGATTCTGAATCCCATTCGTCACGGCCATGCTGTTGTTGTCTTTCTTCACTATATCCGCGGATATCAGACTCGTCACCCCAGTCATTTATCCGTCTCTCTCTTCGGTCGGCAGTCAAGAAACGAGACGCCAAGTCATCGCCGTGACCCGACTCAGACTCTTCTTTTCTACGTGAGCTCCAATTAGCTAAGAATGCGTTGCGGTCATCAGCTTCTCTGTTTTGATGCACACCGAAAGTGTCCCTATCGCGACGTAATTGCGCGAAAGATGTATCAGGAGCTGGAGGGGGCGGCGCAGGTCTATCTGGAGGAGTGGGAGGAGATTTCGGAGGTGGAGGAGCCGGACCTGGTGGTGCGGGAGGCAATGGTGGCGGTGGAGCATCCCATCTCCCTCCTCCTAACTGACGTTCCAGCATCAACTTTCTGGTATCCTCCAGCTTGTTGATAGCACGTGGTGTTTCCGCTGCAGAAGACGAGCTTCGTACTGAATGATTAGCGGTGACACGCTCAAGTCTTTGTCTCATTTCAGAGCTGAGTTTCAACTTCCCTACGCTGCCGGGCGAAGGTCTTTGCGCGCCGATCTCAAAGCTTCGTCTTGCAGTCCGTTGTGACGGCGGTTCCATACTTGGTGGAATGTTTTGTCCGTCGACTTCAAACTCCTCCCAATCTATACTTGGTGACGCTTCAGACCGAGATCTTCCACGCGGTGGTTCATGTTCTACGCCATTAGTCTGTGCTTGTGGTGTATGTTTTCTTTGAATTTGACGCATTTTGAATTTAGTGAAATCTTGAGATGTCTCTTGATTCGCTGCATCCTTCGGAGGCGGCCATCTCCATTTCCCTATTCGTACAGTTTTTGCACGTCCGTATGGGTCCAAAAATGGTCTTACTTCCGAAGGGTCGACATCGTGTAGTAGTGGGGGCATCGGCGGAGGAGGAGGGGGAGGCGCTCCAGTAGATGAGCTTTCGTTCGATTCCCGTCTCGATTTTACCGCATTTCTAGGAGGCGAGTGTACTTCAGCGTGAATAACAGTCGATGATCGAATCGATGATGTGGGAACTGAATCAGATGGTTCGGCGACTTGACCGGCAAGGAGCGTTTGTAAAGCTTGATTTTGGGCCAACAATTGCTGCTGGATTTGTAAGTTTTGTGCCATTGCGTTCTGTAAGAAAGCCCGTTGCAAGTTTTGATGGTATGCATTTATATCGACTGTGCCAGGAGGTGGTAAATGCAGACCTAACGCGGCTGCTAGTGCTTCGGGAGTCGCTGGCATAGCTGGCATCGATGGCGGCAGTGATAAAGCTCCAAAACTTAGAGCTGACGTCGAAGCTGACGCCGTTCTAGGCGTAGCTCCGCCGCCTTTTATCGCACCTGACAGACCTTCGCCATCGGTCAGTCTCTTCAGACTATCATTCATGAATATTGGATCGAAGAGATTTGTGATATAATCGTCTACAGAACCGGCACTAGATTCCTTTCTGTTAGTTTTTCCTTTGTCCTCTTTCCCACCGCCTTTGATTAAGCGGCCAATATCTGTCGCATTGTTAAGAGTAGCTATTTGTTCGTTGTAGTCACAATTCAGGATGTTGTCGATAAATTCGTTATATTTTTTACCGCCTTTAATGCTGGCGGCTAAAGAACGGGCATCGGACATTTCATCAATGTTTGGATCGAGGACCGGCGAGAACAAGTCATCCAGAAACTGGTCAACGTCGGAAGCTTGACTTGGAACGCGGACTCGACGCACATGCGAAGCCAAGCTCGGAGCTTCGGAAGTATCCGACATGGCTGATGATCTATGGACAAATAAATAACTAGTTATACCGTTATATGTCACCGTAGCAGGATAAATAAAACAAACAACCTATTTACGTATTAAAATAAATTCAAACCGTTGTAGTTATTACATTGAAAGAGAAATTTAAAACACTACCAATATATTTTTTTTATTTCTAACCTAAACGGTTATGCTTTTTGAACGCTTTTTCATTGATCGATCAACCTAAAAAGTAACAACGGTTAAAAAAAATATGGTAAGTATAAGTGTTTCACATTTCCTATCAAATATACAATGAAATACCAGCAAAGGACAATAGACACGAGCATAAAGAAAATGTTTCTTTAAAAAAAAAACTTCTTTTTTGGCGTTTGGGAAAAATTATGAGAGTGAATTTATTACGATGCACGCGCACACCGACATCTAAAAACGTCACCTTGAAGTTGTTACGATGCGCGCGCACACTGACACCTCAAAGCAACAACTTCTTTGGGTAACTGTCGCTCAAGTTTTCGTGGGAACTGATGATGACTATATTTAAGATACTTATTTTTGTTTGATTACGCTAAAGAAGTATAACTCTACGTGCATACATAAGTACACACACGTTTTTTATAAGCCTGTTATAGTTCATTTCTTGACATAATCCTTTTAAGATAGAAGAAACAATGTGACTATTTGAATTAAAAGATTTAATCAAGCCTTGTAGGTTGTAGCTTACCTAACGCCTCCAAATTCCGAGCTCTTCTCGATGTATGCACGACTAGACTGCGATCCAGCCGGCGCCCGCTTACCAGTATACTGTGACTTTATATATCGCGAAGGCATTGCTCTTGAGCCAGTTCCATACTCCATCTCCATTGCTCCCTTGCTACTGACTACACTCGGTGCTCCGCCTAACCTCTCTACCGAGTGATAGCGATCGTTTAGTCGCGATTGGGATAGTCCTAAATCAGTTAACTTAGACGGTTGCGGTGCAGGATTGTCGCCTAGCAGATTGTCCAAAGAGCGACTGCGAACTTTGTCTGATGGTTGTTCAAAATATCGCTCATTTAGAGCAGACTCGCGCGATAGAATATCGTGGGATATCTTTCTCGAATAATCACTATTATGTTTATTAATGGTTTGGGTAACTTCTTGCTCCATCTTCCAGTTGTATTCAGAGATTCCTTCTTCTATTGAGTCGTCTAGCATGCGCTGGATACTTGGAGAACGCGACTTTGGAGGTTCCGGTGGTGGCACCTGTTAAATGAAAAACAATTATTGAGTTATTCATGTAAAACTTCTTTAGTCGCAATAAGGTTATTTGGCTTGGATCATATTTTGATTTTATTGACCTCTCTTTCAAACGGGAGTTGAAAGAAAAAAGTGGGAGAATAGTTTCAATACTTTCGTCGTATAGGTACGTGATAGACAGTCTACGAGCATGCACCGCGTGTACCCAGTTATTACGTGGCATAGGGAACCAGAAAACGCTTGCGTAATCTATTGTATATATAAAAAATATACTGTATACATAAAAGTTACGATAGAAGAAAGGCACACAGTAAGTGAATAATATTAGAAACTAGGCGATGTGCAATCGGAATGGAATCTTTATTACTGGTAGCTATTTCTTTAAATGTTTTCGCGGAGTGATGCTTGTGCCTTATACTATTATGTGGTAGCACAGATGTGTCAATCGTGACTGGTCAGGTCGTTTGACCCGGGTCGGTAAAAACTGTTTGAAGATTGCAATAATTTCCTTTTCTTGAACGATCCAGAACAAACGATTGACAGAACCTTTTAACCTGTGACCTGTGATTGTTTAGCGCGAATTGATGTAACAGTCCTTTTTTTCTACATATAACGATTATTATTCCTATCTATATCTCATTTATTAATGAGATAGTTACTTTAACCAATCTAAACTAATATCATAAAGCAGAAACTTTTATAAGTGAGATAATCATAGAAACTACTTGCAGAGAATTACTTGTAATCTATATTGAATAAAAATATTCTATTCTATTCTTATAATCGATCTTTAAGGGCTAACAATTTTCCGCTTACCAGATGTCGTTAGGACTGAGAGGAAGGAGGACGACTGACTGAGATGAAGTTTTCTGTTACACAATGTCGTTATTATTATGAAGTTGCGTTTTAAATTAAAATTATAGGTTTCTAGAGTATTATTTAGTGTAAAAGAAACACAAAATTATGTCTCAGTGGTTTGTTTTTTAATTTTTTGCACATTTAGTAACTCTTTTTTCTAATTTTAGGAATATCTGGAGTTTGGTTTATTTATTTCTAATCTAATTAATATAAAATTAAACCAATATTACGCCAAGAAACATCAACCCTTACATTATCTAAGAATTTCAATTCTCCGCCATGAAATCTGTCTAATATTTCACATCATTCATAAGTTACGCTGCCAAGTGGTAGAAAAAGTTGTGCATAGCCTCATTCTTGAACGATCGGGTCACTAGAAATGAACGATTGACGCATGTCTACGTGACAGTACCTGCGGACGCACGGCCCTTTCGGTGTCGACGGAGGAAGCTCTGGGTGGCGGCGCAGGCGGAGCCAGGCGCGAATTCGATGCACGCAGCGGCTCATTGCGCCCGCTGCTCAGAGCGGACCAAGTCTCCACCTCGCCCACGGCGTCCAATGCGTACTCGCAGCCCGCCCATTCTACAAACAAATAATACTAAATCAATATATGATAAGATATGTATATCGTGGTAGAGCCATGCTGCAGCTATATTAGTAGTATAGTTGTAGCACAAATGGGTCGGCTCCACCATTCCACCTGCTGTGTTTCGTATGGTGAGTGTAGAGAACCGGAGACCCTTTTGGGGTGACGACGCATCTGCATTTTGATTATTTATTGAGATTAAATGTAAATGTCTATGGATCACAGCAACCACTTACCATCAGGTGGACTGTGTACTCGTTTATCACGCTATCCTATAAAAAATAATCCATCAGCTGGTTTTATCCTGAGGGAATTAAAAATTTTGTACAGCCGACTTCAATATAAGTTATTAAGAATAACTCAAAAACTATTGGTCTGATCTTGATCAAATTCATATGGGATAACACGAGTAGTACTAGCTTTCAAATAAAAAAAGAATCATTGAAATCGGTTCACACATAAAAAAAACATACAGTCGAATTGAGTACGGTCTCCTTTTTGGAAGTCGGCAGAAAAGATAGCGAAATAAGGTTTCAGTTACCCGTAAGTTGTCCGTTGTGCTCCATGGTGAGCGACCAGCCGGTGAGGCCGCGCGCGTGGCCGGCAGCCGCCAGAGCGGCGGCGGCGGCGCGCTCGCACGTCGTCCAAGCGTCCACGCACACGTGCGTTACCGTGTCTACAAAATATTATAATTTATTTATCTATATGTCGCAGCCTAATTGTACGATTCGCCGTATTTACATTATGGCTAGCCGTTTTACAAAACAGAGCCGTTTTGTATTACGGCTGGCCAAATCGTATTACGGCTGAATGCAATCCCGCCGCTTTGAGTTCGGCGCTTTGCGTTCTCCGATTCGGCTAGCCGTAATGTATTCAGGCGCGTCATTATCCGCCGCTTTGACAGTTTTACTACCAATTTTTAACACTCAGGGCAGTATGTCATAAAAAAAGAAACAGTGAAAGGACATATGTACCGTCATAGAGCGTGAGCGGCAGCGCGGGGCGGGCGGTGTCGGCGGCGCGCCACTCGAGCGCGGTGGGCGGCGTGCGGCGCGCCACGCCGGCCGCGCGCGCGCCCGCCGCCTCGCCGCCGCACGCCAGCCGCAGCAGCCGCGCGCGCGCACGCCCCGGACTCGACTCCGAGATCAGCCGCACCAGGTACCTGTGCACAAGCCCAGTATTTAAGACGCCTGTACGGACAATTTATAATCTGCACCCCCTTTCCCTAAGTGGGATTGCTGGAGTTTTGGCGGAAACTTGACCGGTGACGGATTGCTGCCCCTGTATTATTGTTTAAATAATGTTTTGAAGTGGATTTTGATATATAAAAGTGGTGCGATTTTGTATATTAAATGTCTGCGCATGTACACTGTTAGTGAAAACGGTGAAACAAATTCTCTGATGGTGATGTGATTCTCAAGATAAGGTGTCTGTCTGCTTAGGCACCTTGAGATACCATCGAAAACTGTCAGCTATCAGCTGGCTCAAGTTTCCATCAAAATCTCCCAAAGGCTGCACAATGTGACGCATGAACATATTGTGAGGCAATGTATTATGAAGGATAAATATACATTGTCACTTCAGGCTTAGAAGGACTAGAACCCAGAGCTGTAAAGCCAGTTATTAAAAAAAAGTGGGGCCGCTTCCAATACGGTAGAAAGGCGCTCCAGGCCAAAGTCAGTCCCAGGTGATGTCCCACATAACCACGCAGCCGGCTGCATGGTATGCTAAGAGCTTTCACCACCTCCCTCCCCCGCTTCCTGGAGGGTAGGTGTTTACGTTGCTTCTGGGCGCAAAAAAAAACAATTTATAAATTAATTGTTAAGAGTCACTCCGACTAAAACTTAAAGAAATATACATATTAACGCTATCATCCAATCTGTGGAGTCTAGTATTAAACTTTATTTTGTATACTAGACTCCACAGAACTAGTAATTCATCTGTGAGGAAAATTTTACAACAAAGTCCCAGAAAATGTTCTAAGTTTGTCAATCAACAAGAACTTTTATTAAAGAAAAATTGTACAAAAAAGGTTATTATAATATCAAAGTATACATTAATGAAAATAGCCCCTGGGAATGAGGTGAATTATACAAATTTTTTGTAAACTTGGCTCTTCCTAGGATAGCGATATTTTCTGAAGTAGTAAATAAAAAGTTGACTTTCAATACGGATTATGTAAGAATCTGTAATGAAAAAAATATTCTATTTTATATTATGATGTAAAATACGTCTTTAAATTAGCTTCCACAGTAGCAGGCAATTCAGAAAACCGATGATAACAAAATCGGGGGATACAGTTCGGTATTACAGCTACCTACCTATTCATCTATATTCAAAATTTAGTTACACAACTCGATAGCTAAAGGATCTTCGTTTCATTGAGTTAGGATTGTGACGCATCACGCGCGGCAAAGGGGAGAACGCCGCCATTTCAAAGTCCTTTCGCTGCACATAATTACGTAAAACGCACAGTCGTGCTCACGATATAACCACAACCTGATTTTATATAGTTTATTTTTTTAATTACACGCTTTATTTTTTACACATTTTTCCGTCCAAATACAATCGGGACATCTTCAAGGCAAAAATAAATAGGCTTTTGTTACGCTAAAACAGTTCGATTTACCATCTAGGGCTTCATCGCCACTTACCATAAGGTGGGATTGTGGTGAAGCAGTGGCATATAATAAATAAAAAAAATTGTATTCCAGGAAAGGCGTTTTCATTAATTCATTACAGCTCAACAGAAGTCCACCGAATATAGGCCTCGCTAATAGGTAGGATCACAGAAGAGAATTTTGACATAGTCGCGCTTAGCAGACGAGTTGAGAACCACAGTTTTTAGCGTTCCGTACCCAAAGGGTTACCAACGGTACCCTATTAATAAACCTCCGCTGACCGTCCGTCAGTCCGTCTGTCAGCGGGCTGTATCTGATGATCCGTAATAGGAAGACAATTGTAATTTTCACAGAATGTGTATTTCTGTTGCTGCTACAAAAACAAATAATAAAAATTAAAATAAATAAAAAATTAAAAGGGTCTCTCCTACTAAAACCGTGTATTACGATGGTACGGAACCCTTCATGCACGAGTCCGACTCACATTCGGCCGGTTATTATTATTATTTTTAAGTTTTTATCGGTATTTTTGTAGTTAATCTCTGACGCTTCCACTACACGACATGTAGGCATTTTCATGCTTGTTCATCGTTATCGTTAAATGCTTAGAAATTAATAAATATCTTATGATATACAATAAATGACTAATACTCAAGACCGGCAAGCGGCTACAAACACGTGTTAGAAGACTTCATTTGTAGGTAGATTAATTTCGCACATATGGATGTTTTTCTTCCACCTCAACGTATACAAATTTAAAGAAATTCAACTATATAATATAATGAAACAAAGAACAATGGCAGAAAAATAGTTGACAAAAATGATTGCGTCTAGAGATAAGTTATATATATATATATATATATATATATATATATATATATATATATATATATATATAATAACACTTTGTACAAAAGAATATGAAAACTAACTTATGTAGGGCAGGTCCAGGTTGGAAGGAGGCCAAGCAGTGCGCAACCAACTTCCACACTCTTTCAGCAGAATCGCCGCTTGCTTGATTGCACAATTGCACCAGGATCTCATCACGCAGACCCCTTGACGCTAGTCCTCGAGATGCTATGTAATCGGCTAAAACCTGAGAATTAAAAGTTTATTTTTTGTAGTTTTCCATACATAAACATTTATGAGTATGTAATATGTATGATAATAACTTAGAAGTTTTTTTCTCACCTTAGTATAATCTTACAAGCTTACACACATTAACAATTATATTTCGTATACAATAAATGATTCATACCCATACAACCATCTCATATATGCAAAAATGAAAACAAAATAAAAACATATTTTAAAACAAATATTTGAAGTACTTGTTAAAAAAATTAAAAGAGTACGCATTTAGTAAACAACCTTGTTCTAAACTATAAACATTGTTTGTAACATTGTATATGTATAAAAGTCGTAAAATAAAATTTAAAATAAAAAAGTACAGCTACAGCCTATATTAGTCCTACAACTAGGAAGAGGCATCGTTTTATTTTTGAGAGAGTTACGGAGCAATTTAGTCCGCCGTGCTGCTCCAGTGCGTGTTGGCGAAATTCGCTTGTATATTTATAAAATATTTTATTCCTTAAACGTGTGAAATTCAAAGCAAGCGCTTAGCCCAGCTAAACCCCCAATCTTAATGATTAAAGTACGAACAGCAATCATAAAAAGAAGTTTACCATCTTTGGATATCATTAGCAAAGTCTAAAAGTTTTCAGGTCTATTTGCATTTGCACAAATATCTTTCGCAGAACGATAATTTCCATTTAAAAATTAGCACAGCTCAGTTTTCTCAGAAATTAATTATAAAATCTTACCTTTTGCCTGGCTTCGTCTCCAGCTGCGGATTCGTCGCACCAGCGTAAGATTAATTTGAATATGGCTATAGCATCGTTAAAGTCTTGATCCCTGAAAAATAAAATTCGGTATGGGTATGACGTAGTCACCTCCTTATCGATTTTTCATTTGATGGCTAAGTTCCATATTATTCTTTATAACATTTACTAAATTGATTTTAATGTAAACTTAACTGTAAAACTACAGATTTTATTGGCATAATACAATTGAGCTTCGAATGGAATTCGAATTCGATTAGTTTGGAGACAATTCTTGCAGCATGGCTCTACCACAGATATACGTGGTAGAGCCATGCCGCAGCTATATTAGTAGTATAGTTGTAGCATGAATGGGTCGGCTCGACCGGGGAAGGACCACGCTCTCACAGAATACCAGCGTAAAATGGCAGCTTGACACTGCTGTGTTTCGTATGGTGAGTGTCGAGAACCGGAGACCCATTTTACTGGAAAAGAGGCATTCCATCTTAGTGCTCACGGGTTATTATTATTATATATATTAAGTTATTTACATTAAAATGTACACATTCACACGTCCTTTTGAAAACGGTAGAATCGACTTTTTGAATATCAAAACGTGGAGATATTTAAAATTTGGATTTAGAAATATCAGCCCCGTTGTTAAATTTTCCAACGGAGCTAAGATAGAAAGTTATTTCATTATTATGTGTATTATGTTCAGACAACAATTTTAAGTGTTTAAAATTTTTTTTTTTTTACGTTTATTTGTTAAATCATACATAATTCTTAATTTTATCTACTCGTACAATATTAAAAACTATGATAATAAAAAAAAACTATAACTAGAAACTTAATTATCATATAGTCCTACTCCCCGCGGTATCGTGCCAAGAACGCTGGCTGCGTTTCCTCGCTGAATGGCTATACTTAGCCTTTGAGCGAGGAAAGAACTAGCCCTCTTATCACCAGCAGCAACGACCAGCCGCGGATGGAGTTCCTTTAGGAACTTCCCCGCACGAGGACCCCACGGACCGATAGTCTCTACAGCAAATGGCACAAATATGTAGTCATCTCTCAGAGACTCATATTTGCGCCACTTACTCAGTTCAGCTGCCTCTGAAGCCGCCCCGGCTCTAAACGAAGTACCCCTGAGATGAGAGGCCGCCAGAGTGTCTACGCAAGTAGCATCCCACACTAGGGCTTTACCTCTCTCCCAAGGGACCAATGTCATACCGTCGGGTCTCTTACCATCGTTTCTAAATATTCCACAAGGCTCTAAAACCGAGGGAACATTTATAGAGGCAAGAGTCCTACGGATGACATCGTTCAAAGAATTGTGTCGTGAAAACCTACCAGCACTTTTCTTACATGAAAGTCCGTGGAGCCCAAACTTGTCGACGCTGCTACCACAGGGGCACTGATGGGGTTGACAAATCGCCGCTCCTAGTCGGATTCCTACGGCAATGCGCAAGCTTTCCCTATCAAGTAATGTGCCGAGATTACTTGATGGTAAAGCGTGTAACCAGTGACTAGATTCCTAAAATTGTATTACATGGGTGGACGCAAGATTTGTAACCTTCAACTTTACGAGTACTCAGCACGTTTTAAAAAGTATATATAACAAAGAAGCAATGACTGTTCAAATTATTTGGATTTCTTACCTGACGGCGGCTTTAGATAAGAATGGCTTAGTAATAGGATGCTTCTTTGGACTGAGTTGGCCGCCGTCTGCGAAGTACACGGAGCTGAACTTAGAGAAGGCGAACTGTTGCAAGTCTTTAGGCAACTGAACCCGTTCTTCTTCGGCGTACACGTCCCCTGATACCTAAAAATTTATTGTTAAATTGTTATAAACATAAAGCCATTAGGTATGAGCCGTGGTAGCTCAGATGATTAGCGCTAGGTATAAATTTCGCAGTACGCGAGAAACCCGTGTTCGATCCCCGCCGGTACTAATTAAATTATTATTTGTAATTTTAGGTGCTGATTTACCGCGTGTTCGGCGGTGAAGGAAAGCATCGGAAACCTGCATGTCTGAGAAATAAGAAAAAAAAATTCGAAGACATGTGAAGTTCGCCAACACGCATTGGGGCAGCGTGGCGAACATTTCCTTGCCCTAAAACCATCTCAGAAATGAGGGGAGGCATATGCCCAGCAGTGGGACGTATATAGGCTGTAACTGACAAATAATAAAAAAAATTTTCGGTGACATGTGCAGTTGGCCAACACGCTTTGGAGCAGCGCGGCGGCCATTTCCTTGCCCTAAAAAGCTTCTGAGAAAAATCTCAAAATCAGATAGATTAGGAAGTGCATTAGAGGAATAGAAATCTGTATAGGTGAAAGGGCCATTTTTCTTTCTAGAAGTCCATCTAGGGTGTTGGTTTGCATGTGTTCAGTTTTGTCTGGAGAACTGTTAGCTCGTTTATTGCCTTCCTAAAAATTAATTGTTAATTAAAAAAAAAACCTTCGGTTTTACTCATAAAATTCTCTTTTCACTAAATGACAATAGAAAGAGACTTGTAGAGATAATACGACGTGATAATCAACGATTATAAGTAAGCATGTTTTCGAATTATAAAATAACCAATGGCATTCAGTGGTGTTTACTCGATAACACAGCATATTTACCTTGGTGATATTCTTCTCGGTATGAGGCGGTTGCCACTCGTCAATTTTGGAAAGAATAAACGCCAGTTCGGCCGGCACCTCTAGTACTTGTAAGCTCTCCGCCTTCGCCTTCTGTTCAGCAGCACGTCTCCTGTAATAAAAATATGATTATATTGTAATTTACACTAGCACCAAATAAATATACGCTCTGTTGATACATATAAAGTTGATATTAGAAACGCGCTTAGCGCTTGCTCGGCTACGATTCGTACCTTCAACGCTGCGCTTCCCGTTGAGATACGTAAACAAACGCAAGCTCACGTATCACCAGACAATCAATGCACTCTAAAACATTACTTCTGAAGTTCGTATTTTCACTTGACAGCAGCTGCCAATGCACACAATACGGAGACTAGGCCGAAGCGCACCGCCCAAAGCTAAATACACTCTAAACGGTACTACTTAAAATTCAAATTTGTTCATACTTGGCGGCTTGCTGCTGCGCCTCTTGCCTGCGGCGCTGCGCGTCCCGCTGCTCCCGCAGCGCTGCGACTCTGCGGCGAGCGCGTCTCGCTCGCACTAACGCCTGCGCGCGCACGACGCCGCGCCGAGCGCGGACGAAGCGCCGCCGCTCGCGGGACCCTCGCCACCACGACTGTATGCGTACGGCAGACTCACGCATCTGCGTGTAGCGTTTCCTGCGGATTAAGAATGGCGAGAGTTAATAATTATATTCTAGGGTATCACTCCGAACGTGAGTAGTCGTAGGTATACTTTGATAACATACATAAGCAAAAGAGTTTCGACTCTTCGCGAAAGAATAAATAACTCTTCTTAATCATTGGTTACTAGTTCTACGTGTTATACGGCGATTACTGATTTTATTACCCAGACACCCATAACAAAAGCCTTTTATAGCTTAGCAAACTTCATTGAGCTTCCTCACACGGTTAGTAATGACTTTACACGTCTCGTTTTCTAGTAACATTACCATGACTATAAATTTTTTTTTAATTCTGTGGTATAATGGGACGATTATACAAAAGTCCACTCAGTATAAAATGATTTTGTATCCATTTAATTTTCTCTCAGTATTGGATTAATTTTGAAATGTCATATTTTAAGCACACATCTAACAACAGGCACTATATTACGGCTTGGTAACGACTAAAAGCGAAAGTGCCAATTCACCTAGGTTTAGCCGGCTAAAACTAGGTGCAACCGATTGCAGTTGATTAAACTTAGGCATATCCTATATAATTTAGAAATTAATTAGATATCCACGGCTTTGCGTGGCCCATTAGGCCGTCAAAGTACCTTAACCTACTGTGGTGAATATTACTTGATATTATATGATTTCATATTTATAACAAATGTAACTACTTCTCCAACCGCAATCGGCTGCACCTAGTTGTAGCCAGCTTAAACAATTTACATTATTATGCTATTAGTTTCTCGGTAACGGCTTCAACACTTTCGATGAAATTTTGTATTTACATAATGTTGTACTTTAATAGTTTATCAAGTGAAATTTTAATTATTTCTTTCGTGTAACCCTAAGTGAAGTTCGCTTGCCCGTTTACTATAATTTGAACCGACACAGTAAACGCCCACAAGTCTCACCTAGCGAGGTAGGCACGCAGATGCGCTTGTAGCGCTGTAGCGGCTGCGCGCAGCTTGTCGGCGCGCGCTCGCTCCAGCGCTCTGTGCAGCGCCTCGCGGACGAACACCCTAGCCGCACCCAACTGGTAGTCCGCGCCCACTGAAACCGATCCCATGTCACAATTAAAATTCTAAAGCGAAACATATTTTTAAAGTTACTTATTGTTACACATAGAAATAATATGTACTAAATGCTAGGAGCAAGATAAGCCGACATTACGCACTTACTAGTATTTAATCTGTCACCGAGAATTGGCAGTTTGCAACACGTATTAGAGCCCATGGGCTTAAACTTACTTAGTGTTTTTCCACGCGCTCCGCACTGCCGCACAGATTTTGTTCGCGGTGTCTGTTCTAGTGCGTTGTATATATCATAATTACAGCCCTTCACAAATCCACTGCTGAACATAGGCATCCCCCAAGGAATGCCACAAAGCACGGTCTTGAGCCACCTGCATCCATCGACTTCCTGCATGTCTTACCAGGTCATCACTCCATCTAGTAGGGGAACGCCCTACACTTCGCCTGCCAGTACGAGGCTGCCACTCGAAAACCTTTCTACCCCATCGGTTGTCGGTTCTTGGAGCTATATGGCCGGCCCATTGCCCACTTCACCATATTAATTCTTTGGGCTATGTCGGTTACTTTGGTTCTACTACGGATATCCTCGTTTTTAAGTCTATCACGCAGAGAAACGCCGAGCATAGCCCTTTCCATAGCTCGCTGAACGACTTTGAGCTTCCTCATACGGCCAGCAGTAGTACATATAAGTACATAAAAGTAGGAGATATGAATAAATAAATAATATTTCATTAATGTTGAGATATATCATTAATATTCACTTTGCTTCTGTAAGTAAGTACTTAAAATAGTGAAAGCACGAATCGTGAAATCATTTTTTTAATATGAAATCTTTAAAAACACCACACGCACGCACTGCTCTTCGTTTTATGTAGATACGTATCTACATATTTTAAATAATATGAGAGCTAGCTGTGCCTTAAAGCAACTACACGAGTATATTTAAATAAGTCTACCATACATTTTATGAAACGATACATTGTTACGTGTATCTTGGTGTTCCTAATAAATAAAAAATAGCGATCATGAGAGAACGTAACGTAACGTAATAAGGACACTCCTGAGGCTTGAAGGTTATTATTCTTTAAAAGTTAGTACAGTTAGTAAATGTATAGTAATTAGTGTAGTTAAGTTAGTATTTAAAAATTTACCGATATATTTTGACGCTGCATTTTAAATAAATAAATTATTTAAAAGAAATAATTTTTACATCAGGAGGCGAATTTGGTGATTACAACGAACCATTCCTTTTGCTGCAATGGTTCATTGTGATCACCAAACCAAAACAACTCTATTGCCTGCACTTTTTAATTTGGTTTCGAAGTAAATAGTTAGCACTTGATATTTGAGAGAAAGCAGAACGGAGGGCACACGGTGAGTACGTATGTACGCAGATAATCGGGTTTTGCTGGATGAAACTATTGCCGAGGAACAGATACATGGAGAAAGAACAGATAGCAGGATATTATTACCATGAAAAAATAAAAGTTGCCGCGGCATAAAATATATAGAGGCGTTTCTAATATTATGCTGGTAAATAGCTAGTGTATTTTTACCAACAAGTGAAGAAACAACCATCACTAGCAGTGCACTTAGTCATATTCTTATTTGTAAATGGGTAGTTAGTACATTATATATGATATAAGACTTTTAGGCTTGTATTACTAGTTATACATTTAATTTAGATTTAAATTAACACTCAGTTCATGACGTATCTAATTTATTATATGCAGTTATATCCCACGCCTAACTTTTGTAAAAAATTCGTAGCGCTACCACAGATTAAAAATAGTACTACGTAGCGCTACCCCACTACGTGCTGGCTAACTTCATATGTCATCGATTTGTTTCTTTTCAAACATGCAGATCTATGGTTTCCTCACAGTGTTTCTCTTGACCACTTATAGCACATTTTGCTAACTACACATAATAATACACGTTTATTTTCTTAAACATAACATTTAATTGTGAAAACGATTTGTAAATAACGCGAGGGAGTGTATCTTGGAACGGAATATATTTAAAATATTTATATTTATGGAACGTTTATGTCATGCATTTTCTTAGAAAATAAATTGGCACTTAACTATACCCATTTGTAACACTTTCACAAGTGCGTAAGCCACGTTACGTTCTTTCTAGTTAGTGCTATTTGTCTCATTCATATATTACTGTTATTTTTTTAGTTAAAATTTTAGATTACCTCAAAATATGCTTAAAATGTTTATTTAATAAATATGGTAATATTTGGGTAGGTATTTATTTTGTATGATTATCGTAAAGGTTCATTTTAAAACACGTATGCATTATAAAGGGATTAAACAAACTATAAACTACTTACGGCAAACAATAGCTTTGTATTTAACACTGCGTTTTTTCAATTGTCTCCATAATTTTAAATATTTTTCACTTTTTATTTGAACACTCATGTTCCACGATAGTTTTGAGCGCAATTGACATTATAGGAAAGCAACAATGAGGTTGCACTAAACAGGTTTCTTTTATCGAGTAAAAGATGCGATACGTTAATTAGATATTTAATTAATTATACCTACCAAAAGTAGTTATCAGCAAATAATTGTAGTCAATAAACATTAGATTTTATTAAAACAGACTGAATTCGGGTACGTGTAAAGTGTCTTAAATATTTTCTAGTATTGTCTTAACTTGTACCAATGTCGATATGTGTATGATATTGCCATCGGTATCCAAAAATAGATTAAAGATATTTAACTATGGATGCGGCAAACAACTAATGTTAGAACTATTAATTATACTTTCGAAGAGGTATTGAAATGTGTATTCGATGATTTTATAATAACACAAGAACGTCCAAAAGACAGATACATACGAGTAAGTGGCGAAATACATCATTCGATTGATAGGTTCACTGAATTCTAATGAAATCGGAACATACGGGTATTAGGAGAAAGAATTTATAAGGAAGATGAAGCCGTCTACTTTTAATCGAACAATACTATTAATGCAGAGTTATTTTAATAATTTTGGTAATATTAACTAGAGTTAAACAAAGCAAAACTTCCATTGTTTTTTAGCATGTTTGTAATATGGTAATTTAATGCAGGGGTGTTATTTTGGATCTAAAAATAAAGGAAACAATTAGAAGATAAATAAATTAATATAATATAATTTAGGGAACTATTTTCTGCACTGTTACATAATTTCAATAAGTTTTCTATTATATACATAATATGATAAACTTTTACAACCCACATTCCTTTCCTCGGTTCTGTTCCGTTTCCCCCACAACCCACAAACAGGCTATCGTGAACACAATGCACGTAGGTAAATCACCGACGAAGTAGGATTATTTAAATCACAGGCACATACAAATGCATGTGCCCTATTGCTTCATTATGCATACATACACACGTAACAATAAGTCGTAGTAGGCGCGTTCGATATGAATATAATTATGTTAAAATGCTTTCTAATATTATTGTTTTCTAGTTATTGGTTGCCTCGCAAATTGCATTACATCGGGATAATAATAATAAAAACACATGAGAATAACAAATAAAATAAAAAATGTACATTGCATATTATACAAATTTACAAAAAGACTTTTTACTAAAAACGAGGCAATCCGTCTTAGTCCTCAGGGGTGAAAATGCATCTGCATTTTTATTCTTAATCGAGGATACACATAGATGTCTATAGGCCACAGCATTCACTTACCATTAGGTGAACTGTATGCTCGTTTATCATCCTTATTCTTTAAAAAAAAAATATACTACTAACCAGACGGCCATTATTTTAATTCTTATTAAAATAAATTGGAGAATATAATTTCCCTGTATAATAAATAATATCATTGTAGTATAGCGTAGCCCTCACGACATAATATTTGTGTTTAGTGTAATATAAGTTTAGTCTTGTGTCGACACTCGAACATTTCATTTCTCTCGTCCTTACACTACACTACATCATGATACAGTACTCACATCACGTAATATTTGAGTGAATAAAAATGCAAGTAGTTATAGCAAGTATAAGTTATATAATACTAGCTGATACTCAATGCGTTTTTTTATAGGATAAGATGACAAACGAACACACAGTCCACCTGATGGTAAGTGGTTGCTGTGACCCATAGGCATCTACATTTATCCTCAATAAAGAATCAAAATGCAGATGCGTCCTCACCCGTGAGGACTAAGATGGAATGCCTCTTTTCCAGTAAAAAGGGTCTCCGGTTCTCTACACTCACCATAGAAGTGATGCCACAAGAGAAATAATTGTGGCAATATTGTTTCAAATTTGGAAGAGTTATATTGTTTTAATGATAATACATTCATTGATATAGTAAGAAATTTCTCGGTATGATACGCGCGCCATCTACTGTAAGTTAATGTATTATGCCTATAACCTTAATGCAAGTGCAAGCAATAAGTTGACAAAATTTTGCCGCAATCTCATGAACGGTATGGCAGCGCTTAAAATACGAACAAACAAAAACAAATTTGTATATATTAGATATAATTCACTCACCGGCGCCCGTTGGCGGCATCTCAGCAAGAATAGAGTTGCATATTTCACGGTACGGAGTAGCGCGAGGTGGGTTCGACTTCAGCAAATACCTGACGATTGAAAAGAATGTGAGCATTCATTCATTCATTAATTAGGGCTCAATAGTCTATAGTTGAACAAAGATTTTCCCATAGATTGCCTTATATGGGGGATATTTGCCATAGTTGTAATGCTTGGCACGACGTGACGCAATGAACTACAAAGTGACTATCATATTGATGTCGACACTAGCGAACATGCCTGATTTAGCAAGCACTTCACGGTGAGAGAAAATATCATGAGTGAACCTACAAACTCGAGAAATGACAGCGTATTATGCACAGGAGCACCTACTTGATCCATGACCTACTCGTAATGAAACAACCTTATTTCCATCAAAACATCATCCAACAAATAACTATGGCACTCTTACATTGCGACTAAGTATAAGGATATTCAAATATGAGGAATAAAAACTGTTTTCTTACCGATATCGTTCCACAAAGTTCTGGAACGGGATGCGTATAGGATATCCGGTCTGACGTATCTTAATGGTGTCCAGCATGCCAGTGTAGCGCAGTTGAGCCAGCACGCAGGGCAGTTCGAACTTCATGGGGGACTTGTCCGTGTTCGGCTTTATGCAGCGCACGAACCACGGGTTGCAGCGCGACATCGACTCCAGCAGTTGGTGTAAACTATCCGAGAACCTGGATCACACAGGATACTATCAGTTATAATTAAGTACATAAGTAAATGCACTACGTGACCGTCTTGTGTGTTTATTTATTTAAGTTTAAAGCGGTCTTAGTACTGAATTTGCCTCCAAGGTAGCCCAGATGGTATGCCTCATTGCCTGTAATTGTTATTATTTCTTCATTGTCTATTTCCAATCAACTTCTGTTCCCCAGTAACTCTTACCGAAAACGGTAAGATTTTTTAACCATTTTTGGCGAAATGTCTCTAGGTCAGAGACCATTGAATATTGTTACATTAAAAACTGTACAAAAAGGGTTATTATAATATCAAGGAATACATGAATGCAAATAACCCCTGTGAATAAGGTGATCGCCACCATGCTGGTTCTATGAAAATTCATTTAAAAATTGTATAAACAAAATTATTGTTAAGTGAATATGTTGAAAAAAAGTTCCGCTGGGTTTCTTGCTGGTTCTTCCCAGGACAGAGATATTTTCCGAACCAGTGTTAAATAAAAAATGAAGTAGGTATTATGTAATAATCAATATTGAATAAAAAATGATTCAATTCTATTCTATTCGCGAGCGTTCGCAAAGTAGCAGGTCGCAGCGATATTTCCCTTCGTATACTTTTATTTAAGTTGATACGGCATTAACATTACCATGAGATTCATTCTTAGGTGAAGATAATAATGAATGAATTAACGTGACAATATCTGAAAAATTTCAAGCAAATTTACGCGGTGTTACGACGCTGTCAAAATGTGACAAAGGAATCTTAACTTACCTGGCGGCGACAGTAGGTGTTCTAGGCTTCATAGTAACGAAGCGTCCGTTGGCACCGCGCGGCAGCGTTTTGTTGGCGTCGTGGTGCGCACGCAGCTGCGCGGACATCTCGGCCACCAGCGGCACCTCGCTGCCACACAACAGCTCCAATACATCGCCGCGCAACGCGTCCCGGTTCTTGTCCAGGAAGCCCTCCACGTTGTACCACACCTGCCCCGCGTAATGCTTGATCTGGGAACGCGAATAGAGTTTTTAATAAAATTGCAAAGGTCAACGAACTTACAGTACACCTGATGGTGAGTGGCTAGTGTAGCCCATGGACACATGCATCCAACTTCAAACAAAGAGGACTACAAATACGTTGTCACTTATGAGCACTAAGATAGAATATCTTATGAAAATACGTGGTAGAGCGATGCTGCAGCTATATTAATAGTATAGTTATAGCACGAATGGGTCGACTCGACCGGGGAAGGACCACGGAATACCAGCGTAAAATAGCAACTTAAAACTGCTGCGTTTTGTATGGTGAGTGTGGAGAATCGGAGACGCTTTTTACTGGAAACGAGGCATTCCATCTTAGTCCTCAAGGGTGACAACGCATCTGCATTTTGAATCGCAAACGGGGATAGATGTAGATGTCTATGGGCAAAAGCAACCACTTACGATCAGGTGGACTGTGTGCTCATTTGTCATCCTAATAATAAAAAAAAATATCTTATGGGATGTAACTATACCGGCTCTCGATATCCTTCGGACAGAAACACATCGGTGCACGCACTGCTGCTTGGCGACGGATCGAGTGCCATAATTTAATTTTACTATTGTATTTGGGCGACGGTATGACCAAATGATCAGAGTAAACTAAATCAAAGTCAACTAACGGATCCTGGGTCCGAAATTTGAACATTGAATCCCTAACGGAACAAACATTTTTAACAAAAGCTGCTTAGAAAAAGATGCCCGGATAATTTTAATAATTTTTTTTTAAGTCTGATGTGTTGTGGTTGTTCTCCTACGAGATAGAATAAATTGATCTAAGTATACGGCTGTGGGTCTATGATATGGGGTAGTGGGAATTCTTACACCGCCACTACTCGGGCTATGTCCTATGTTGAGCAGTGGACTTTTTGTCTGTAACGGATGAATGGATGGATAACAACCGAAATACATTTTTTTCTCTAGATCAAACGTATTTTCATAAAATAAAAAATAAAAAACTTCTTACTCCGAATTCGTTGGCTCCCAATCTGGGCCTCGAGTATAGCTCGTTAAGAGCGTGATTATAATGGCACTTCTCTAGGAACGACGCGTCTGAAGCACGCGGGAAGTTGCTCTCATCGTCCAACAAATGCAGAATACCAACGGGCTTCTTACTCAACAGCTGAATTACTGAAAACGGACACAAATTTTAAAACCACAGACTATACAATAATATTGATTGTTTATTTATTTATTACGCGTGTGTAGTAACTACCTGGTGAATTATCGTTCCACGTCAAATTGGACCACTCCAAGCGTTCCTTCTGATATTCCTGTTGTTCAAGTTTGAAAATGTGTTTGTTGAAATAATGCTGCAGCGTTTCATTCGCATAATTAATGCATAGTTGCTCGAAGGAATTCTCTTCCAAGTCTTCGAAGCCGAAGATATCGAGGAGAGATATCCGGTGAGCGTCGTGTAGTCCCGCGCGGTGGACTATCGAATTTATTCGTAGGACGAGCCAGTTGAAAAGGGAAGAATAAAGTGCTTTAGCGAAAGCGTCTCTAGCGTCTAATGCCTGGTCTATTGGCAAGGGCGATCTCATACGTTCAGCCCGCGCAGCTGTAACTCTCGTAGTTAAAGCCCTTGCCAAATCCTCAGCGGGAATTTTTAGCAAATGCGCTGCCCAACGGACTTCGGCGCCTCCGCCTAATTGAACTCCTTCCTGTCCATGACGTAACTGTCTTCTGTGAAAATACACGTTGCCTAAGTGGAGAACGGCCGCCAAAACTCTGATGATGTCTTCTCTTTCTGCATCGCCAATACCAAGTACTTGCATGGCCCCACATAGAGCCGACCAATCAGCTCCAGCCCCAGCGCCTCCTGAATCTCCTCCTTGGTTAAGATAGAAATAGTGTTCTGCTGTCAAAAGACCTCTCGCCCGTCTTTGTTCTTCATCTAATCCAGCTAATAATTCATAGAACACATGATAATTTCTTTCACCAGGCGATTGAGTGACTATTCTCGATTTTTCGAGTAGATAATGTGCGACTCTGGCTCCGGCTAATGCACCGTCTTTGAAATAGAGTTCTAACAGTTTTCCAAATCGACTAGAGTTATGATTTTTTGGTGTTCTCGCGTTTCCGAACGCTTCCAGTAATGGCGCTGCTTCTAAAATTTGTTCGGAGACGGGGGCCCTGCCTAATGGTGCAGGAGCGACCGCAGCAAGAAACTGAACAGCCAGTTTAGTGGATTCCGTTTTTCCCGCGCCGGACTCTCCAGAGATCAAAATGGCTTGAGGATGAGGTAACGATGCGCGAGCGGCGGCCGCAATGGCGAAAAGATGTGGCGGTAGGTCACCTAACGCTTCCGCTGCGTGGTATCTGTATAAATAAAAAACAAATATTAAGTGCTAAATCAAGATGGAATATTTATTATTTAAATTTTTCCATAAGTTAACTACTTACAAAATTATAGTGTAGTCATCAACAATACTATGGAAAATGTACTTTTTGTGTACATTATCAGCAGCGGGCGTCATTTAAAAAATTATAAGATTTTGGTAACGTTGGAAAGATTTGACCTTGAAGTCAATATATCTAAGTTTGAAGAGGTTATGTTAAGCTGTGCTGTAACATTGTACCCACATCATAGATTAAGACAATACGACAACAAAACTACTCCAATGGTGTCAAGGTTGTGCTCTGTACACAGTGTCTAACGACACTTTAATTATTTATACACAAATACAATAGAAGAGACCTTCCATTCATAACAATTTGTTTTTGATTTAATCCAGCCGTATATAATCGTAACCGTTGATACAACAGCTAGTCACCCTCCGGTCTGAATATTTGCATCGGGTAGCAATTTCTTGATGAAATACATTTATTTATCCTGATTGTGTAATTAAAAAGACGAGACTTTTAGTCGATTTAATTAACTCGCCACGTTACGCTCTCCATTTTAAAGAATGATTAATTGTAGCCTAAATTTTTAAGTTTAATTTTGCTGCTGTTTACCCTAACAGAGTTAAATAAAAAAAAAATCACGGTAAACATTCATGCTGGAGGTCGAGTCACAAAAGACAGATTGAAATGGATTGATAACCAGTTATATTGATAAGCAGATTAGTAAGAAGCATATAGATATAAATAAAACGTAGAAATAATATCATAAACCTCATACCACAAACCATCACAAACCTGTATTCGAATCGAAAGAAAAAGACCGGTTTTATTTTTGGTCAAATCCACTCAGATCAGTTAATGGCTATTTTGTTTTAAATTGCGATAAAAAGGACCCAAGTTATCGACGTATATTTTTTTTATAGGAGAGGGGGCAAACGAACATGCGGCTCACCTGATGGTAAGTGACTACCGCCGCCCATGAACAACCGCAACACCAGGGGAATTGCAGATGCGTTGCCGGCCTTTTAAAAAGGAGTACGCTCTTTTCTTGAACATAATGATAATGTAGGTTATTTTGTTACATTTTGGAAATAAAACTTAGGTATTCGCTTTTTGAATAGAGATATTACCAAATTGTCTATACATTTTTTATATAAAACTAGCTATCCGCCCCGGCTTCGCACGGGTGATTTCTGGATCTCGACAACAGCGCCACCTACCGGGTCCAAATGTGAATCTAAACCAGCTAGGGACCCATTCAAACAGAAAAAATAATCATCAATATCGGGTGAGCCGTTTTTAGTTTTAGCGAGACTAACGGACAGAAATTGATTTTTATAATAGACTAAGTGTTCCCCACGACTTCGCTCGCGTGTTAGTTTTTTTATTTTTTTTGCGCGGAACCCTAATTCTTTTTCTAAAATAAAAGTAGCTTATGTTACTCCTTATGACATCAGCTATCTGTCAGTGAATGTCCCGTCAAAATCGGTCCAGCCGTTTCAGAGATTAGCCGGAACAAACAGACAGACAGACAGACAAACCGACAGACAGACAGATAACAATTTTAATAACTGTGGTTTTGTTATAAGTATCGTATATACTTTCATATGCATTTAGTAAAAAGCCGTAATTTTGACATTACAAACAGACAATTCAATTTTATTTATTTGTATAGATATGGAAGTGACACGAATTTAGACTGGTGGACACCAGATGCTACGTGGCTACGATCTATCTGCTAAACCATATAGATATCTGTAACCAAGTTCATACAAAGAAGGCTACGGATGCGTTGTCAACCCCTGAGGACTAATATGGAATGCCCTCAGACTGGAACACAGAAGTGCAGGAGTGCTAATTGGCGTTAGAAATGGGTAAAAGGGAAGAGGCTACCCAGACGGAATCTGAGGCAGAAATGGATCCTACCACCTATAATAAAAACATGTACGTTTATTTCTGCATATCAAATACTACTATTAAACCAATTCTTATCGATTTCCCATATTCATCAGTAACACTATCACACACACACATACATGTATATATTATTTATAATTACGTGGAGACACAATGAGTCCACACCTTTGACCATACTCTCTGTCACCGGTCTGAGAGCCACATCTGGTTTACACAAGGTGACTACACAGCCATCTTGTGGAGGCCATGAGATCTTTCTGACATGCCCCATATATTGTTGCCTACACAACACCATAAGTGAAATAAGCGGATATAATCTCCATCTACTCCTTTCTTCCCATAATTGATAAGTTCCTTGTTGGAACCACCACACTAGGATTTTGTCCTGTATCGTGGAGGCAGTTTACAGACATAAATTGCACGAGGACAAACATCCAGACCCGGAACAATTATTTGTAGGCCATAAAAATACTTGTTCCGTGCGGGATTTGAACCCGCGGCCCCCAGCGCTACAACTCTTTTTTAAGCCACTGCGCCACGGAGCCGTCAAAAAAGAATTGAATTGACTGTTTTAAGCTGGTGAAGTAGCAACAATTATTTACTAAATAATTTCTTCAATTAGCGATATTAGCTCCCCACACATTCAGCCTCGTACTGCTAAGTGTTTAGAGGCCCCACAACAAATGGAGTGGCGACCTGATGACTTATGTAGGAAGTCGATGTATGCAGGTAGTTCAGAACCAAACAATCATGGCAATCTTTCAGGGAGATATATTTTCAATAGTGGACTAGAGACAGGCTGTAGTGATGATGTTTATGATGACATTCAACCTTTATATTAATTACAATCAGTTAAGTATATCAATCATAAAGAACAACCTAATATATTTTATGCGATTCGGATAAGTGTGTGTGTGTTTCACAATATTTATTTAAATAATTAATTTATTTATTACAAAAAACCGACCGGTTTCACCTCAAAATATTGTGAAACAAGTACAAGAGTGTGTATCCAAATCAGACAAATGAAGCTGAAGTTTCACCAAGTGCCGACAATCGCAAATCTTTATATCCTTATATATAAAACGTGTTACATTGTTTGTCCGCGATGAACTCCTAAACTATTAAACTGATTTCAATGAAATATGCACACTCTGCAGTTTGGTCCAACTTGAGAGATAGGATAGTATTTTATCCTGATAGTCAGCTAGTATAAATTATATATATAACTAGCTGGTACCCGGCGTGTTGCTGCAACAGAATTAATTTTGGAAATATCGTTTTAAATTTAGAAGAGTTATATTGTTTAATTAGGAATGATGATACATTAATTAAAGTTGAATTATATATATAACTTTCAAATAAAATTTTCAGTACGATACGCGCGCCACCTACTGTAACTTAATTGTATTACAATGTCTATAACCTATGTACTATGCCCAAAGAGTACTTTGAATAATCAGAAAACTATGCCTATAATCTTCGCATAATTGCAAGCATTAACTTGACGAAGTTTTAGTGCAATCTGATGAACGGTATGGCAGCGCTTATAATACGAACAAACAAAAACTAATTGTTATATATGTATTAGATATATTTTCTTACCTTCTAGCAGTCTGTAGACCATACAGAGTATCCACAGGCCTGTAAGGGTTAACAGCTACTAATATGGAACCCGCGTAGGTGTATATAAGGCCCTGCTCGTATCTCAGCTTCAAATTCCAGAGCAAAGCGGCTTCGTGGAGGTCGTGGAGACGTGTCATATCTTCGACGCCGGTTGGGCCCAACTCTTCGCGCGGCCATACTGGATCTCCCTCTTCTTCGCCATTGCCCATTTGAAGGGCGAAGGTTTGTGGCTGTAGGAAAACGGGTATGATATTATATGTGGTTTTTTTTTAATAACTGTTTAACTTTGATAACGAACACTATCGCTTTTTGTAAAAATCTTGCAATTATCTTGCTCGCTTTCTGAGGCTGTAGAAAAATATAAAAAAATATAAGGCAATCTATGCCTTATATTTGTAAGGTTAAGGTTGACCCGCTTACATATTTGTGAATTATGGCATAATTTTGCAATATAATTTCCTACTGACTTACTTCTATTAGATACATAATAACGTAATCAAGAAACAGCACGAAAACGCAGCCACACGGAAAATTGCTGCTTCCCGCCAGGGCTGTGACATAATACAATAATTCTATCACGTACAGCTGAGAAATTTCGCTGTCGAGATCACATGAAATCTTTTATATCGTATTTATTGCTGATGAGTTAAGCCAGATATTTACACGCGTGTTATAAAATGATTAGTAAACTGCATACCTGATTTTATTACGTGGCTATGTTTTTTTTTTATTCATATATAAAGGGCTTTGTCGCTGATGCGATTATGCCGCCCTGGTAGTTACAAAAAAATCATAAATATAATTACTAACAAATAAACTTATTATGTTTACTAGTTACTTAAATTGCGACGAACCTCGACAGTCTTTTTAAAAACACAATTTAAAGTATAAAATGATTTAATGTTCTTTCGAAGGTGGTTCGTTACAGAATGCATCCATATTAAATGTTAATAAAATAAGTCTAGTACAATTATCATATCGTCTTACATTACTTTAGAATTATCACTCGAGTTCTCACGCATGTGCTGATGTGGCTGTTTGGAATATTGAGCCAGGGACGGATTGAGGCGATATAACTCCTCCCTCCACAAGTTCGGGATTATCCTCGGGATTATCACGAATTTTACAGATTTTACAAATTTCAATTAATTTATGTTTAACAATTATACTTAAAATAATTAATATAATAACTAAAATAATAATATTAACTAAACTAACACTTTTATTAGTAATTTCACTTTTTGCATTTTCACTTAACTCACTGTCACTAATTTCTCCCATACTTTTCTGCAGTAATAGATTCAGGAACTGTACGTCTGCTATATTAATTCCATCGAGATTCACAGGCTTCTTCAGAGTGCTTGACGGTTTGAGTATTATCTTTGGTAGGTTTATTAATGGCTGCCTTAGGGAGGTTATTTCTTTACCTTGAGTCTGATGTCTTTTCAGTTCGTATCCTTTGATTTTCACCTTGCAGTTATCATCCATAGTTAAGAGGTAGGTTCCTAGTAGAATCTCTTGGCTAACTTCATTGTCGCAGAATTTAGTCATAGCTGTTTCAGTATTTGAGTAAACTATCCAGCGATTTGGTTGTATGAGGTAGATCTTCACATTTTCTAGGGTGACAGGGATCGGGTGACAACTTGAGATATTTGTGTGAAACTGCATGATTTCTACGACACAGTTGTCATTGGTGAAGAGTTGTATGTCGTTCTCATGACACAGGAATCGGCGTTCGTCGACCTCGCGACATGACTGAGAGAGCGGTGTTGCTTTCAACCCTTTCACAAGTAGGTACGGATTTTTAGGTAGGATGAGAGTCGTCTGGCCATTATGTAATACAGGTAAGGGAACTAATTTATAATAGTTAAAAATTTCATTTCTAATAAGTGGAATACTCATAATAAACTTTATCTGATTCTGTTTAATATAGGCTTTTATCTCGATACATCTTTCTAATTTTACAATATTTTCATAAGTGACAGGAAACACTAATTTGTCAGTTTGTTCTATTTCCTTAAGCAATATTATAAGTTCTTCTGTATCAATTATTGACTGGTGTAGTACATTAATTTTACTAAAAGCAATGGCTGTTTCGATTTCACTCAAATGGAAATATAAATTATGAAAATTATCAAGGAAGATATTATAAAGGTGAATGAGTTTAGTAACCGTCTGTCGAAAATCGGAGTTGTTTAAAGCTTGATTAATGTTTTGAATATTATCTTCTAATCGTATAAAATTGCTTTTAGTAGAATTTGCCATGGCTGTAAATGAGCCCACCATTTCGGAAACTATTGTCATTTTATTTTTAATCACATTTTGTTCCGTATGTAGCTTATTTATTAATCTTTCATACCTAAGAGCGTCATTATTATCTAAGTTACCTGTGATGGCTTTTATCAAAGAGCCTACCGGATCGAGGAGACCTCTTTTGGTTCGTAATGGAGGAATTAATTGTTTAAATTTGTCGATGGTAATATTCATAGTATAATCGGTTTGATGTTGGACGGTAGTAAAATCTGAATCAAATGATTTAGTATCGAAACAACTTTGAACATGCTTTTTAAGTAACCCATATTTATTCATACTTGATTCTAATTCATCGTAAATTAAATTTAAATCTAATATCTTAATAACTATCCAGTTATCATAATTAACAAATGCTTGACCTTCGTCAACAGGTAACAATCCCGGATTCTTGTCAATGCGAAGCTGATGAAGGGCCTGGCTTCCCATTGTTCGGATCACCAGTAGAAATAATCTGCGAAGGACGTTTTATGTCTTTAATAGGAACATTAGTAATACGTTTATTGGTTTCAACGGGAACTACATTTCTTTTTATAGCACCGATGGCATGAGCCTTTTGGTAACGTGGTTTATCTTTGCTCCGTCTAGTATTAACACCTTTTATGAACACAGTATCACCTACGTCTATATCGCACTGTGATTCGCCTGCGTGTTTTTCTCTCACCGTCAACTTTTTGTCAATTATTTTATCCGTAAGATATTTATATAAATATTTGGTCCTTTTAGCGTGATCCTTTACTAACTGCTGTGTGAATTGCTTATCGAAATTAATGGCAAATGTACTATTGGATTCGGTGTGTCCGAATACTACTTCAAAAGGCGTTAGATCTGTCGAAGAGTGAATTGAATGGTTGTATGACATAACAGCATACGTCATCACTGACGCTGCGTCTGTAATTTTATGTTCGTATTTCGCGATTCGGTAAATTTCAGTAATAGTTGAATGAAACCTTTCGATAAGTCCCATAGAGTTGGGGTTGTGCGCAGTACCAATGTGTAGATTGATTTTGTATAATGTTAGCATTTCCTTTAAGAGTACGTTATTAAATTCCATACCGGGATCTGAACTGATTTTGGATGGAATTCCGTAAAATGAAAAATACTTTATTAAAGCTCTTATTACTTCCGGGGTAGACCTACTATTAATTTCAATTGCTTGACCCAATTTGCTGAACGCGTCTATCAGGGTTAGAAAATACTTGCCTTCTATCGAAAAGGTATCAATGAAAATTTCTTGGAATGGCTTAGACTGGGTTTGAGTCAATTGAAGTTGAGGTTTTAGGGGTTTACGGTCGTATTTCATTTTCTTGCAGACCTCACATGAGTTTATAATGCTCGCTACCGTTTGTTCCATATTATTCCAATAAAACGTTCGCCTCAAATGTACTAATGTTTCCCTAATACCTCTATGGCAATTTTTACCTAAATGATATTTAAGAACTACTTCGCGTTGCTCATTTTCATCTTCTACATATACTATCCTCTTTGTACATTCATAAAATTTAACACTATCCTTTTTGAATAATTGCGTTGTGGCTTCCGAAAACTGCTTGCGATGTATGACATCTTCGAAATAAAAAAAATATTTAATTTTAGGTCTGATATACTCTTTCAGGAATTTTTTTATTAAATCCAAATTGTTTAATGGTAAGTGAACTTCCAATATGTTCTGTTTAGCCCTAGATAAGTTTTTAACCGAACATTCATTTCTGTTCCAGGTATGAACGAGTATTTGATTTGGTTTCGCATCAATCGCTTCCTGGAGAATTAATATTCCTGCTGTGTCTATGTCTTTAGCCGAATGTACTGTATTGTTACTACTGTGTCCTTCAGAAGCTGTGGCGGTGCTACTATTTGGAGATGGTATCGGATATGGAGATTGTCTACCATGTAAAGAGGGAATACTTAACGTTTCCGAATCGGATGATACTGTTACTACGTCCCCCGCCTGATTCGAATTACCTAGCTGTACAATTTTAGAGACTACATTGCTCAAATGGCGTTGAAGTTTTTTTTCGTTTTCGTCTACATTCACTTGCATGGAAACATTATCGTTATCAGTTAAGGCGTTAATCTTAATTCTAGATAAAGCATCAGCGTTACAATTTTGTTTCCCGTTCTTATACACTATTTCGTAATCAAATTCCGATAGGCGTAACTTCCATCTAGTTAGTTTGCTATTCGGTTCATTAATGGAGTTTAGCCAGGCTAAAGGGCGATGATCAGTGTAAATTGTAAATTTTTTTCCATATAAGTAAGGGCGGAAATGTTTGACTGCCCAAACGATTGCCAAAAGTTCTTTTTCTATTGTGCTGTATTTAGTTTCAGCATCGTTCAACGTACGACTTGCAAAGGCTATGGGCTTATCACTACCGATAGGTCCCTGCGATAGAACTGCACCGAGAGCAAAGTTCGACGCATCTGTGGTGAGAACGAACGGTCGAGAGAAGTCAGGATATTGTAAAAGTGGGGCGTTTGTTAAAAGCTCTTTACATCTTTCAAATGCGTCTATATATTCTTTTGTAATTTCAATTTTGTTTTTCTTTTTCAGGCAAGAGGTAAGCGGTTGTGTAAGTTTAGCGAAGTCTTTAATGAATTTTCTGTAATACCCTATTAATCCGAGAAAACTTTTTATTTCGGTGGCTGTACGCGGTAATGGATATTTTAGTACTGCTTTAATTTTTTCGTCGTTTGGTTTTAAACCCTCTTTTGTAATCGTATGACCTAGATATAGAACTTCTTTTCTCAAAAATTCACATTTATCTAACGTGACTTTTAAATTAGTTTCTCTGAGACGGTCAAAAATTTTCCTTAATTGTTCAATATGTTCCTGAAGACTAGCCGAATACACAATTATGTCATCGAGGTACACTAAGCAATGGAGACCTTGGAGGCCTCTTAAGATATTATCCATTGCTCT